TGAGGGCTCTGAGCACCCTGCTCTAGCTGGGGCTGTCCCTGCTCCCTGCAGGGGGGTTGAAGAAGATGATTGGAATGACCTCAGCTGAGGTCAGTTGTGTGAGGTTCAACCAGGCCAAGGGCTGGGTCCTGCCCTGGGGTCACCACAACCCCCTGCAGGGCTCCAGGCTGGGGCAGAGAGGCTGGAAACTGCCCCAGGGGAAGGTCCTGGGGGGTTGGTCACAGCCCATGGAGAGGAGCCAGTGTGGGGTCAGGTGGCCAAGGTGGCCACCAGCAGCCTGGCTTGGAGCAGCACTGGTGTGGGCAGCAGGAGCAGGGCAGGATTGTCCCCCTGGGCTGGGCACCAGGGAGGCCACAGCTTGAGGAGTGGGGTCCCCATCCCTGGAGGGCTTCCAAAACCACGTGGAGGTGGCACTTGGGGCCACGGTTGGGTCTTGGTGGCAGCGTTGGGTTGACGGTTGGACCTGATGACCTCAGATCTCTCCCCCAACCTCCACGCTTCTCCAAAACCCCCTCCGAGGGTGGGAGGTGGATGGAGCTCCACAGACAGGAAGGAATTTTGATTCTCCTCGTGTTCTTCTCTTCGTTTCCTGCCCCACAAGCTGGGGGTTGAGTTTTGGGGACCAGGGTTACATCCGGATGGCCAGGAACCACGCCAACCACTGTGGCATCGCCAGCTACGCCTCCTACCCCCTGGTCTAGATGGAGCTTCAGCATCTCAGGGGCTTCCAGAGCTTCCAGCTCCACCACAGATGGACCTACAGGCTTCAAGAACCATCTTCTGGCTCCACAGGAGACGTTCTGGGCTACAGGCTTGGAGAGAAACCTTCCATGGGAGGATTGTGGAACAGGAGTGACAGGCACCTAGTGACTTCTTCTTTTTTTGGGGGGGAAAAAGGTGGGTTTGGGGTTGATGGTGATGAAATTGCTGGTTTGAAAAATAAAAGCTCACTACCTGAAGTTTTGCTTCCCCAAAAGTCCAAGATTTGACCTCTGGAGGGAGGATTGGAGGGTGGAGGGGATCCCACCCAGAATTTGCTCTCCTGGCACTGGTCTCCCCACGCCAGGACCTCTCCCAAAACCTCCCCACAAAGAGTTTTCCTTCCCAAAGGAGGTGGATGGTCTTGGAATGGAGGGTATGGACCATGGCACCAGTGGCCAAGGTGTGGGGAGGGGGCTGTGGTCTTGAGCTGAGCTCTGGTGATCTTCACAAGATCTCAACCTAAAGCAATGGCTGAGGTTGGAAGGGACCCTGGAGATCATCCCATCCACCCTCCCTGCCATGGTGCCTCTCAGCTACACCAGGTTGCTCCAGGCCTCATCCAACCATGGCCCTGAACACCTCCAGGGAGGGGCATCCACAGCTCTCTGGGCCATCAGAGTCACCTCAGGCTGGAGAACTTCTGCCTAAGGTCCAGTCTCAACCTCCTCTCCTCCAGTCTGAACCATTTCCCCTGGTCCTGTCCCTGGGCACTCCTGGGAAAATCCCTCTCCAGCCTTCCTGGAGGGTCCCTGAGGGACTGGGGGCAGTTCTAAGGTCCCCCCAGAGTCTTCTCTCCTCCAGGCTGGACAACCCCAGTGCCCTCAGCCTGGCCCCAGATGCTCCAGCCCCTGGCTCATCTCTGTGGCCTCCTCTGGACTCGCTCCAACAGCTCCATGTCCCTTGGAGGGTGGGGACACCAGAACTGGGGTCTCCCCAGAGCAGAATCCAGGGGGACAATCCCCTCTCCTGCCCTGCTGCCCACACTCCTCTCGGGGCCCCCCAGTTGGCCCTTGGGGCTGCACCAGCTCTGCTGGCTCCTCTTGAGCTTCTCACCACCCTCCTGGTTGAGGTTGGAAATTCATCTTGGTAAAAGTGTCCTTGGGGTGGGTTTTGGTGGAAGAAGTTGGGTGGGGGATGATTTTTTTGGGTTCTGAGCTGGCTTGAGGTGCCACTGCCACCTTGGGGGAGGTGGGAGAATTGGAGTCTCCATCTCCAAGGTGAGGTTTGAGGAAATTCACATCGTTTGTGGACCTTCTCTGGTATTTTTTGGCCTTTGTAGAGAACCTGGTGGGTCATCGTTGGGGTTTTTTTAACCCTTTGCTCACTCTGGAGGGAAGATGTCTCCTCTTCAAGCGTGGAGATCTCTACAGACCACTTGGGCACCTCCAGCTCTGTCCTCAAAAGGGGAGGAAAACTCCTCATGTCTTCAGCAAAACCACCAACCTGGGAAGACCTGGGGGGGCCCAAGACCCTCCCGCCACCAAGTTAAAGCAATTAGCTTGATTGAATGGGATTATATAAACTGGGGGAGGTGCTGGGGGGGTTCTCAGAGGTACTGGGTGGGTATAGGTGGCACTGGGAGGGTCTCCAGTGG